TGTAGAGCTCCTTTATAATCACCCAGTTACGTTGTGACGTTTGGTAGCACACAAAGTGTTCCTCTGGCAAACGGGAGTTGCATAATCTCATAGTCATAGGAACATGTATAAGTCATGAAGAAAGCAATAGCAACATACTAAACGATTAGGTGCTAAGCTAATGGAATGGGTCATGTCAATCAGATCATTCAACTAATGATGTGATCCCGTTAATCAAATAACAACTCTTTGTCCATGGTTAGGAAACATAACCATCTTTGATTAACGAGCTAGTCAAGTAGAGGCATACTAGTGACACTCTGTTTGTCTATGTATTCACACATGTATTATGTTTCCGGTTAATACAATTCTAGCATGAATAATAAACTTTTATCATGATATAAGGAAATAAATAATAACTTTATTATTGCCTCTAGGGCATATTTCCTTCACCTTGGGCCTCCCCCTGCGCCTAGGGTTGGAAACCCTAGGGGTGGGGGCACCACCCTTGCCTTGGGGGGCAAGCTACCCCCTTGGTCGCCGCCCCCCTAGGAGATTGGATCTCCTAGGGCCGGCGCCCCCCCTAGGGACCCTATATATAGTGGGGGGAAGGGAGGGCAGACGCACCCCAAGCCCCTGGCCTCTCCCTCTCCCTCCCGTGACACTCCTATGTCTCCCTGCGCTTGGTGAAGCCCTGCTGAGATCACCGTTGCTTCCACCACCACGTCGTCGTGCTGCTGGATCTTCATCAACCTCTCCTTCCCCCTTGCTGGATCAAGTTGGAGGAGACGTCTTCCCAACCGTACGTGTGTTGAACGCGGAGGTGTCGTCCGTTCGACACTTGGTCATTGGTGATTTGGATCACGATGAGTACGACTCCATCAACCCCGTTCTCTTGAACGCTTCCGCGCGCGATCTACAAGGGTATGTAGATGCACTCCTCTCTCCCTCGTTGCTAGATGACTCCATAGATTGATCTTGGTGATGCGTAGAAAATTTTAAAATTCTGCTACGTTCCCCAACAACTGGAACCAAAGGTGTGATTTTGCGGCGGCGACGGGGAAGTCTTGATTTGTTGTAACCGGCAACCCGCAAAGCTTCCACCGGCAAGCTAATTTTCTACAACGGTGTTGCGAGAGGAAGATGGTGCCCCTACAACGGCTGTCCGTTTTTTGCTATAACCGGCTACATGCGATGCTGGAACCTGCGACGAGTTGAGCTGCATCCATGGTGCAAAATGCTACGACCATCATCTGTTTTTGCTGGAACCATAGAGAGCGGGGGTGCGAGGGACTGGCGTCATGAGGACAGCCACCGACGGTACTTCGAGATCGGCGAGCTCGACGCAGGGTCCGCGGGAGGAGCTCAGTGCGGGGAGGGGCGTAGAGTTGATCCCGTGCGAGAGGAAGGAAAGATGTGGCGAAGGTCGAAAATTGGGACGGCCGGCTAGCGCCTAGCACTACCCAAAAGAAAGTTCCTCTTTGGCTTGTTCTTCTTCTTTTCTTACCCCTTCGACCACAAACATGCGGCCTGAGGTTGGAGCTCGACCACGCCCGGCCCTGGGAGCTCCTATGTAGCGCTGCAGGCGCCCGTTAACGATCCGGCGCCTGCAGCGCTGCTAGCATGGGCCTACCCACTAGCGTGTTGCCCTAGTTTGTTTTTTGTTTTTTACAAAAATAAAATTATGAAATAAAAAAGGTTTACAAATTTAAAGAAAAAAGGTTCACCCATTTGAAAAAAAGTTCATATCTTTAAAAAAGGTTCATCAATTTTGAAAAAAGTTCATCAATTTGAAAAAGTTCATCAAATTTAGCAAAAGTTCATTAATTTTAAAAAAAAGTTCATTATATTTGCAAAATTTCATATAAATTCAAAAAAAGTTCATGTATTTTTAGAAAAAATTCATTGAACTGAAAAAAAGTTCATAAATCTAAATAAAGTTCATACATTTTCAAAAAAAATATGTTCATCAAATTTCAAAAAAGTTCATTGATATTCAAAAAAGTTCGCCAATCTGAAAAAAAACTGTTGAAATTTTTAAAAAGTTCATCGATATTCAAAAATTTCATAGAATTTTCACAAACGAAAATGTCAACCGGCGCCTAGATGGGCCGGCCCATTTATGGACGCTGCAGGCACCAGTTAACAAAAATGCACGTTAACTGGCGCCTGTGGCGCCAAATAGGAGATGCCCCCGGCCCTGGCGACTCCAGGCTGGCTTTGAGGCAGGCGCAGTGGCCGAGCCAGTTTTAGAGGAATGGGTGTACATAAGGGCATCTCCAGCCGCACACCCAGGAAGGCCTTCCCAGGCGATTTTTTCGCGCCGGCGCCAAAAAACGGCCCAGTCGCGCCCCAGGAGTCCGATTTTCGCCGGCCTGGGCCGAAAACAGCGCCGGCGGACCCAGGCCGAACCCGGCGCGCTGGGGGGTGCCCGGGGGCGCCGGGGCGAGCTGTTTTGGCGCGAAAAGCCGCGGGCCAGCCGCGTCAGCGACACGGCGCCTCGTCTTCCCCCAACGGCCTCGGTTCCCATGGGGAATCAATGGCAAGGCTGCCGCCGGTCAGCCTTACCATTGATTCCTCACGGGCGACGCGTCTCGGAACGGCACGCCGACGCCTCCCCTCCCTCGCGCGCGTACACACGGCGCGGAGCGGCTATAAAAGCCGGCGGTTCTCGCCGGTGCCCACACCAGACTCGCCCCTCGTCGCCGCCCAGCCCCTCTCTCCCCGTCTCCGTCTTCCTCTCCCGAGCGTCACCGGCAGCCCCTCTCTCTCTCCCTCTCTACCACCGCCGAGCCCGTCGCCATGGCAGAGCGCTTCCCCGAAGACGAGGCGGCGGCGAACGGCTTCAGCCGGCGTTCGCTCCGCGAACAGGAGTCCTGGCTCCTGTTCCAGGCGAACATCCCGGCGCCGCCGGACATGCGCGCCGGGCCGACGGGGTGGCGGCTCAGCGATGGGGGAGTGCATGTTCCCCTGTTACCCGACGCCGTGGCGAAGCCCACGTACTTCGCCGAGGAGGTCAAGGTCGCGTGCACCTCCCTGACCGACGACGAGCGCTCCCTCCCCCATTACGCCACCGGCAATCACGCGACATGGGCGGCGTACTTCCAGCGTCGCCAGCAGCAGCGCCTGGCCTCCACCAACGACGCGCCGGTGGTCGGCGGCGTGAAGAACCGCGTGGGGCGCCGCCTGTGGTGGGGCGTCCCGGGCCGCACGCTGGAGGACGTGCTGACGCACCTCGACGGCGGCAACAACCCGTCGTTGACCTATCCTGCGATGGGGGCCGCCCCGTCGCAACACCGACGCGCATGGGCGCCAAGGAGGTTCGCCTCCTCCTCGTCTTCCTCCTCTCGCTCATCTTCCCACTCCTCCGGTTCTCCGGCGCTTCTCGGCGTCAAGGCTGAGCCCATGGCGGAGACGCCAATCGGCCGGCGCAGTCGCAGGGCGGCTGGCGCGCCCCCTCCTCGCCGGCTCCTCCGCGCTTCGTCAAGCCGAAGATGGAGCCGGGGCTGGCGCCGGTGAAGACGGAGCCGGGGCTGGCACCGGTGGAGGCGGAGTTCGACGACGATGACGCGGCCCTAGAATGGGCGCGCCAGGACTCCATTGCGATGGAGAAGGCGCGCCGGGAGAAGGAGAAGGAGCGCCAGCGCGCCGCCCTGCGCCGCTTCGAGGAGCGCCGACGCGGCCGCGTTGAAGACGGGGTCGTCGTCTTATGGGACAGCGACGACGACGATGACGCGCCGCCGCCAGTCCGCCATGGTGACGCCGGGCAGGGGTCCAGCAGGGGCGCCCGCGTCAAGGAGGAGAAGGCCGACGACGACGATGGCGGCGACGGCGGCGACGACTTCAGCCCTTTTCTTTTTTAGATTAGGTTAATGTAATGAAAATGCGCGAATTTCACCGAAATTTGCCATGTTTGGCCGAAATTTAACTAGTTTTTATCATAACTTCGCCGAACGGTCCTTTGTTTTCTTTAATACGCGCCTGGGGGCCGACGGCTGGGGACCGACTCGCCCCCAGGGCCATTTTTTGCGCCGGCTCACCCCCAGGCGGCGCTTTTAGACGCCCCCTGGGGGGCCAACGGCTGGAGATGCCCTAAATAAATATTAGTGTTATCTTTGGTTAACTAAAACTAACTACTTATATATATTAAATGTTTTCATTAAGCTTGCAGGTACACATTCTTACGGTGAGAGCCACAATTAACGGGTGTACATTTGTACACCCATATCTTGGTGTGGCTTCGCCCCCCTTACTCCCAAAGCCTGATGATAGATGGTTTGGGCTGGACATCATGGACCTGGTGACGGGTTCAAGCCCCTTTTCAGGCCACGATGAACCCATTTCTTGCATGAGCCTCTCTCGGTGATCACTACCAGTTCGGCAAATGGTGGAACTCATAGTTTAGCTAAAATTTCTCTTCTTTAGATCAGAAGCGCCATGTGTGGCTGATTCAACCCCATGGACAAACTTGTATCCCACGAACTGTGGCTTTTGATAAATCAAAGTTTGATTTCACCCCTAAAAAAACAAGAGGAGCCAAATAAAGATCTAGAAAGAAGTAAAGACTAAAGACCAAGAAGCCAATCAACCCAGAAGAATTATCGCTTGCATTCTCCTCATGTAAATTTGAGCAAGACCAGAAGGCACGAACCGACAAATTGTTGTTCCAAGATTTTTCTTACCTGAAGCAAGATACATTCAAAACAGACACTAGTACAAAACAAGTGCCTCCCATGTCCACTCAATTCTCAGCAACTAGTCTAGATGACTCATCCCACTAAGATGACCTAACAACATTCTCCTGACTCATGTTCCTATGTATTCTCCTCTCCTCTCCCAGGAGGAAAGAACCAAAAATGGTTTCTGATATCTACATGATAATGTAATGTAATGTAATGTAACATCCCCTCACACTTCCATGGTGTATATATCATCATCATCAAGCAGCTAAATTAATTAACTAACCAATAAAAAATGGGGCAGGCAGAATAAATGAATGGCTAACTATCTATCATCAAGACTCAAAACTTTGCGAGCTGGAGCGCGAGCTCGGTGACGAGCCTGTCGAGCACGGAGTTGGCCACCAGGCTCGCCACCTGGTCGGCCTCTCGCCGGAAGTTGCTCCAGCGCTCCGCCTTGCCCAGGTCGCTCGACAGCACGGCGTCGACGTCGACCTCCACGCCGGACTGCGGCCGCTCGTCTAGCTGGCGGCCCACCCTGGACCGCAGCTCCCTGAGGGCGCGGTCGCCGACGGGCTTGGGCCGCTGGAAGGAGGAGAAGCGGGGCTGCCTGGACTCGCCGGCGGCGTAGTCCTTGTAGACCTCGAGCAGCGCCTCGTTTGTCAGGTCGAAGAGGAGCAGCTCGTCGGCCGACATGTCGGTGAAGTCGATGGCCGCCGCCGCGGCGTCGTAGTGCTGGCAGTCGTCCTCCTGGAGCGCGGCGCGGTTCTGCGAGCGCCAAGCTTCGAACAGCGCCTCGTCGCGGAAGCTCGACTTGTTGAATATGTCGTTGACGTACGCCAGCTCGGCCTCGTTCTTTGGATCATCTGCTGCTTCTTGGAGAGCGTTGAGGTCGGTGAGGTTGTTCTCCTGAAGAAGTATGTTCTCCTCAGTCGATGAGCTAGTTGGTGGTTTGACAGAAGTGCTAGAATCAAGATCATCATCAGTGCCAACTGAATGGTCATGTGCTTCATTTGAATGGACAGTTTTTTCCACCAGCGACGAATCTGCGAAACAGACGAACAGGAAAAAGAGATTAAAATAAGAAGTTACGCGAATTCCATAGTAAATTCAAGAATTCCGATCGTTAATTTCATTGATGACTCGGTAATAACTTCATCGTATTTTATAAGTAAATTTCAATTGCTGCTTGTTTGGAATGCCATTCTGAAGTTTTGTTTTTAAGTATAGAAGGCTAAAATTCAAAATAAAATAAAATATAGAAGGCTAATGCAGGTTCTGCATATGTACTAGATGAAAATCTCACCATTCAGCATTGTTTGGTTCTCTGAACTAGCAGCAGGATGGTCTGAGAAGGCCACATCCAGAACAGAGGTTGGACTTTCAGTTTCTTGTTCACAGCATAAATTTAACTCATCTTCAGTATCTCTATTGGGGTCAGGGACACAGCTAGTACCTTTGACTGATTTCAAAGAATCGAATGAATGGATCTGATTGTCTTCAGAGATTGTTGCCAGTTCTTCTGCAATGTCGATGTCTTCTGAAGGTTGGGTGATGCATGACCGAATTTGATCATCAGAAGGTGGCACTTGCTGTTCTGCAATGTCGACGTCTGCTGATAGCAGAAGACTAAGAAGAGTGCAAGGATCAGCTCCAGTTGACGAGTGAATAAGATCATCATCATTACAGGTTGTTGCATGTTCTTCTGGGATGTCAACTTCAGATGCTGAAGGGTCGGTACACAGCTTGGCTTGGGTCGATGAGAGAACCTCCAGATCATCATCATAAGTTGCAGCTTCTTCTGAAACATCAACCATCTCTGAAGAAGCTAAAGGAGCTTGTTCTTCTGAAACATCAACCACCTCTGAAGCTAAAGGAGCAATACATAAATTGTCTTCAGTCGATGATTCCACGACGTCGCACTCGCTCAACAACTCTTCAAGTGACACAGGATCCTCAGAGCCACCAGCAACCTCATTACAAGAACCCTCATCCACAGCAAGTTTCACATCTCCAACTATTTCCTCTGGAACTTCTGGTGCCAATGTGTCTTCTGGAATCACAAGAAATTCAGCAAGTCTAACCACACTTTTTGATCTGAGCTGAGAAATGGAAGTTCTCTGCAGTGCAGTTGCTGCACCAAGGCCATCCAAAGAGTGATCCCTAGTGGACTTCGAGCTTGTCAGCAGCCTTTTGGATTCACTGCTTGAAATGGAATCAAGCAAGTGAGAGTAGCTCTCCAGTGATTCAGATAGGGAACGCGAACGCCGAAAACCGCTGTTCCCATGTCTCTTTGCAGCAGTACCAATGCAAGGTTTCAGACCATCCCTGTCATATGTGGCAGAGGCTGATCGAGGAAGTTCTTGTCTAATGTTATCTCCAGAAAGCCTCTGCCCATAGGGTACCTTGTGAAGAATCCCATCCATGGAGATGCTACGGTGGCTCTTCCGTTTCACATGGTCAGTACCAGAACCATCCAGGTTGCTTAACGTATCCTGTTGCAAGTTTGTACTGGTGTCATTTGGTAGTGACAGTTTAGCGTCGTGTGAAGAACTGTCACCATTGGCAGCTGACTGACCATTCAGAACATAGTCATTGTTTTCCAAGTAATGTATCGAAAGGGTGCGCAGCAGCTTTGGTCCAACAGGAAGCATCTTCTCTTTCTGATCTTCCTTTCCGTACAATTTTCTTGAAAATAATGACTTCAGACCCGACTTACCAGAACTCTTTTTTGAACCCTTGTGTTTATTTTTAACCTGAAATACAAGAAAATTGATGGAATATGATCAGTTCACATCTCCAAATCCAAAGGAAAACTAGTTGTCTGTGTGCAAGTAATCTGGAGGACAGAAGTACTTGTAAAAACTGCTTATATGTAATGCAGTAGCAGCACGCAGATCATCATATATTTATGCTTATAAAATAATTCATGCACTTGCCTAAACAATCCATCAGATGTATTAGTACAATGAGTAGAGGTGATTTAAGTTTATGTACACACTAGATGCTGACACAAATATACAATAATTTATATACTGATATACATAAAGAGAAGGACCAATGATGCATATGATTTTAGTTCATTTCTCTTAAACTGTAACCAGAGGACGAAAATGGACTACTGGATACAAATGAAAAAATTAACAGAGACATCAGTACTAGTATTCAAGTATCAAGAGAACTCTGGAAGTTGATAATCAAGGTGGGTAATTGGTATATACTTTAGTGTTTTTGTACTCATCTATGACAGCTCTCTGCTCATCCGTGACACCACTGTCTTCGTCTTTGAATGGAACATAGCAACCTCGAAGCCTACTTCCTGCAGTCAATTTCACGGTCAATAAAATTACAACATATTGTTTAGGCGCATAAGCTGTCATACTTGTAGATATTTCAGGTCAAGGTGTAGAGTTCTAATTCTTCAGGTTCAGTACACTAAGTGCTAAACAGTAACTTCCCAACGTACGAGTTTATATTTTATCATTGTTTAAAAACTTTCCTGCTTATGAGTTTATATTTTATCATTACTTATAGAAGGTCAAATGGAAAAATCAAAGTATTTGAATACATGAATGACAACCACAACTGTACTCCTATTGTTTTTTCGGTGAATCAAATCAATTTACTCAAGGATGCTCAGTTGCGGTTAAAGAACAACCCCAACTTACCACCAGTGCTTTTTTCCTTACCATGTTTCTTGTCAGAGATCATCTTCTTCGTGGACCGTAGGCGCCGGCGAAGGCCAAACAACTCAAGAAAGCTCCATCGGCCCCCCATTTCCTTCCTTCCATAAAACCCAGAGTCCTGAGGGTGCAACAGCTGGGCCATTTGTCCTGGGCCCGGCAGCATAAAAGAGGAATGAATGATTCCTTATGAGCAGAGCACCACCCGCGCCGATTATGGAACAGTGCCTCGACTTCAGTTAGGTCTGTGACCTGTCATGAACATAATGGACAGTGATTAACAACCTATCAAAGCACATACCTAATGACTTTTCCAACTCCAAACAGATCATTGCCTCCAGACCATAATGGAAAAGAGTATGGCCGAACAGATTTAGTACACATAAAGATGGTGCCTAGCCAAGTATCCACAAAGATCCGCAGGGCAAATGAAGGTCTTAATCATGAGGAAAGGCATAAAGTAACAGAGTACTGACGAACAAGCGAATAAGAAGTAACTTAAGAGGGTCGTTTGCGCCTTTTCTAGATTAAAAAGGGGGGGTCAATGATGGTGATGTAAACACCCATCTTTCCTAAAACATGCACACAGACACCCACCAAACTGCAACCGAACCATTTCTGAAGACACGCCAGATAAACAATGCCTGTCTGTATCCTTGTTAGTTAGTGTCTGAACCACTAATCAATCATTAGACGACCACGAAATAAAACTATAGTAGTTAGGAAGAGCCACTTTAGTGAAGAAGAATATTGCGATTTCCTTCTTTCATCCTGGGACAGCATACTTGAACCGTGAAAGCACATCCACAGCCAACCAACAGGGATTGCAAATCAAGAAGGCTGAGAAAGCTTCCAAGGAAGAACCGGAGAACTGTCGCCGAAAATCTGGTCACATGTTAAGCAAGTAATTCTTCTGTGCTCTTTTCAGTAACTTGACACAGAAAGAGACTGACCCCAGGAGGATTAAGAAAAACAATACTAGGCTGCACATCCATTCCTCATGACTCAGAAAACAAATCATGTATATGAAAAATTACTAAACAATGCCCTTGGTTAGGCAAAAAGAAGTGCTAATCAATGGAGACTCTGAAATCAACAGCGTAGGGAGGGCGGAATCCGCTGTGCTACTCAATATCATCACTAGGCTCATTCACTTGAGAGGAGATCTCCAGCTTACAAATCTAAACAAGAAAAACTGTGGAGGCAGTGTGACAGATACTGTCCTCGACTCCTTGGACAAAAATTCTGTACCCCAACCAAAAGGGCTACTCTCATTAGTCATTACTCAATCAATCAAGAGTCAAAAATAAGTAGTTACTAGTACAGTACTTAGTACTTGTACCACCAATCAGATCATGACTGCTGCAAAATCAATCCACTCCGTTCAACAACCCATCCATTCAATTGCTGGAGGAAAAACCCATCCATCCAATACAAACAACAGCAACAGCAACCATCAACAAAGTCAGAAATAAACAATCAGTACTTCTACCATCAACCAGATCGTGGCCTGCTGCATGCAAAAACCAATCCACTCCATCTGGACAACCCGTCCATTGAATTGCTGGAGAAAAATCCGTCCATCAGAATCAGATTCAGCAACCCATCTGCTCTGGAATGGAGTCCACATAGTGCAGTGACTCGGTCCATGCGCAACTTGAGGCATGGAAAACATATCACGAATTCACGATGAACAGCTCGAGGTTTCCCACTTGGTAACTCCCGATCCATGAAAGGCAAAAGAGAAAAAAAAAACGCTAGAACAAACCATTTCCTATCGAAAAACAGAGGTCCGTTTGGCCATATCTGCCTGCCCATGCAGAAATCGGAAGGCATGCGGTACAGACCACAGACAGAGTAGAGACAGATCAACAACAACAGGTAGCAAATCCCAATCATCAACGCGGACTTCGGCGAACATGCTCTCGCAGTGAAGAAAACGAACAGAAATAACCGAAACAACGAGAGAATAGATGCTCTGTCCTGACGAACGGTTTGCCTGACGGACGAACGAGCGAGCGAGGAGGAACGCACGCGCGCAGCGCAGAGGCGCCTTTCGGCGAACAGATGAGCCGCACGGGAACGCGGCAGCGGCGGCGCCGGCCGGCCGCGAACCGTGGCGCCGATCGAGAGAGGACGCAACGCGCGCGCGCGCAGGCCGGAGAAACGCACGCACGCACGCACCCGTAAAACCCAAACCAAAACAAGCAGAGGAGAAATTCGTCGAGGCGTGCTCGGTGCGGGCGGGGACCGGCGACGAACCTCGGTGGACGGGCGCGGGCGACGCGCGCCGGCGACGACGAGGCGGGGAGGGAGGCGAGGGTGGCGCTAGGAGGAGGGAGGGAGGGAGGGAGGGAGAGTTGGTGGGAGGAGGGAGGAGGACGGAAGGAACGGATCCGGGAGGGGGAGGGTGGAAAAAGCTGCGGGGGGTTTGGGGTTAAATCCCTCGCTCCGGCCCGGTCCTCGCCTCGAGTGCTGACCTCACCTGCTGTTGAATGCTTCTCCCTCTTGGACCGCCACCGAACAGTGATGGGATATCACTTCACTTCGGTTTAGGCTGTTTTGTTAGTTGCCCTTTGTTGCTTGTCCATGTTGATGTGCTCAGTGCAAGGTCTCTCCTCTTTTATTTTTGAGCGTATATAGAATTTTTTTGCAATGAAAATCGGGCAGGAAAAGCTTGCGGTGATGGAGCTCGGACGACGCGGAGTCCACGGCGGCGCGGGGGAGGGTGCGGATTTGTCGGGATGAAGTTAGCGACGATGGGGGTAGGGAGGGTGGCCCACGCGGTGGCGGGGAGGGCGGAGTTTTGTTTTCGCG